AAAAAAGAAGCTTTTCCAAAATTTGGCCCAGTGTAGATGGGCCAAATTTTGGAAAAGCCTCTTCTGAAAAAATTATCAGAAAAAGGTACGCAAATCAAATGCACAAGTACAAAATGGGAAGTTACAGACAGGGCCAGCTCGAGCCATTCCTGTGCCCCGGGCAGCGGGCGTGCAACGCATGCGCAGCTCCGACCCCAGCGTGCTGTGCACCTTACAGCTGCAATCAGGTGCGTAGAGCCTGATGGCAGTTCTAAGGGGCACCATGCGGTCCCTCGCCCCGGGCGCGCAGCACCTGACGGCAGCTCTAAGGGCACCGCGCGGCCGGGCATGCGGCGCTCCTTACAGCTCCCATCAGGCACCCCCCCTAGGTTGGCACCCCGGGCAGTTGCCCGGCTAGCCCCCCGCTTAATCCGGCCCTCTGCTAAAAAGGATTTGAAATGCAGGGATCTCAAACTCCTGACCCACAGGCCATCCCTGGCCAGAGCAGTTTTGTACTCCAGCCACAGGGCCTGTCTGTTTCTTTTGCCCTATCCCCACTCCTTCCTGCCATTGTGTGTCCCTCTCTCACCCGTGGCACTCTGTCCCCTGAGGGACTTGGCCTTGAGGGTAGGGGAGAGGCAGCCTGCAGTGGAGCACACTTGGGCACACTCCTCTGCACTGGCAGTCCCCTGTGTCTCCCGCTGCCTTGGGGAGTGCAGGAGGGCCTGACCACTGCTGCTGCCCTGCCAGGCCCCGCCAGGAACCTCCAAGACCACATCCCTTGAGGGACGGGGTGCCATGAGAGTAAAAGGCAGGACAGTGGCAGAAGGGGTGTGGCTTGGATGATGGGAATGGACAGCCCTCCCTGCAAGCCCACCAGTACTCCCTTGCTGGATTGTGAAACTGCTCTAGCCAGGGTTGGCCCACGAGCCGGAGTTTGAGATTCCTTTTATAGTGCATCACATATTGAATACGACCCAATAGTGTGATCGGTAGCAAAAAAAAAAAAAAAAAAAAAAAAACTACTCTCATTCTGGCATATATTAGCAAGACTATTGTATGTAAGACACGAGAGGTAATTGTCCCACTCTGCTCAACAATGGTGAGGCCTCAGCTAGAGAATTAGATCCAGAACTGGACACCACACTTCAGGAAAGATGTGGGCAAATTGTCGAGAATCCGGAGTACAGCAACAAAAGTAATAATCTGTTTAGAATACCGGTGAGCAAAGCTTAAATAAGATGGGCAAATTTAGTCTTTACAAAAAGCAGGGGAAGGGCTTCAGATATATTAAGTGCTGTTATCAAAAGGACTGGGATCAATTGTTTCCCATATCCACTGAAGGGAGGACAAGAATAAATGGTGTTCATTTGCACCAAGGGAGGTTTAGCTAAGATATTACGAAACACATTTACAATAGTTGAGCCCTGAAATAAGGCTCCACTTATTACATCCACATCACTGGTGACTTTTAATAACAGATTGGACAAACAAACTGTCTGGGGTGGTTTTTTTACTTGATCCTGTACTATTTAATACAATATTTTAATACAATATTTTGAAATACAATATCCAGTACAAGGGGCTGGATTGGATGACTTTTTAAGGTCCCTTCCAGCCTGACTTCTCTATTATTTCTGTGGTATTATAAGAATTCAGGAAAGCACTGAAGTCTCATTGATTTAAATATGATTATTTATATACTTACAGGTGAGTGCTTTGTGAATCAGGGCCTAAACCATTATAATCTGATTACTGTATTAGTAGCATTAAATACATGAAGTAAGAGTATGTAGTAAGGCCACATGTTCAGATGTCCACATCTCCCAGCCACCACTGTAACTGGTAATAAATGGACTCTTGCTACAATCTCAGCAAAAGGACTGAATAGGTAGAGAAAGTGTACTACTCTCTTTCTCTCCTCTCGGAGGAAGGGGGTTGCCTACAGCTAGGGTTGCAGTGTCTTGAGGAAATTCCCTACTCTCTTTCTCTCCTCTCGGAGGGATGGGGTTGCCTACAGCTAGGGTTGCAGTGTCTTGAGGAAATTTCTTCTGCTATTGCTCTTTCTGTGCTGTAGACAGCTGGAACATTTTATTCCCCATAGTGGTAATCCAGCATCATTTACAATCAAACTAAGTGAAGAAGGCAGTTATTTCAAAATAGTGGCAAAATACAGAGAAGCTGTCTGACTCTTGTAACCCTCATTGTACAAGGAATAAGGGAAGTTGGAGGCAGAGTGCTCTATTTAAAAATCAGTGCTGTGTAGATGCTCCCTATTGCAAAATAATCTATGCAATTGACGTAGGTCAATTTGCGTAGCTTATTTCGAGTTAATCCTGCAGTGTAGACGCACCCTAAGTCTTTTCTGAGTTGGGGCCATAATGTTTTTGTCTGAGCCTCACGCACCTCTTGATGAGATTTTTTTTTAATTTTGTTTTTTCTCTTACAAATATTTTAATCTGGAACTGTAATTTCCTCCCTAGACCCAAAGATAGCTTGAGAGATTGAATATGTTCAGGATAAGAGAAAAAAGGATATTTGTCCTAAAAAAATCAGAGAGGGAAATATTGATGAGGTCAGAAAGTTACCCCTTTTCTGAGAGAAGGTAAATAATACCGATGTCTTTAACTGAGATATTTTATTTGATGTTTAATCATATAGCGTGTGCTTAATTATATCATGTGCTGACTTCGGAAAACCCTGCTGGTGTTGTTGGAAAGAAGATTTACAAGTAACCAACATTATTATTTAATCATTTATTTTTATTAAACAGTCCCTTAGGTTGCAGATATAATTATGTAGGTTTGAGTGTATAGAACTTCCACCATGTAAGTGGCTTCGATAGGAAGTGCAATAATTCCAATCATGAATACAGATTCAGCTACAATTAATATGGATGCATGGTAATATGCAAATCCAGAAGATTTGCATTACAATTTATATAAATTAATATGCTCCCAAAGCTGTAACCTGACCTCTAGTCATTGAGGACAGATGATATTTAAAAGCCCACATCACGATGCAAGATGATGTTTTGAATATGGTATCCCAGTTAATATAAAAACACTTTGTGTTTCAAAATGTATTAAATATGCTTCTAACTAATATGTTTGCTTGGGATATGTAAGTAGAAGAGGGGAAAAAAGGTGCTAAAGGTGACCCTCATTCTGCCTCGCTTCCTTCCCTCCCTCCCTCTTTACTTGCTATAATGAAAAACCCATTCCTGAATAGGCTTCTTGAATTGAACATCTACCGTTGGATGTGTGTGCACAGCTCTCATGGCAACTGTGGAATATGGGTGTTACAGTCAAAGCTGCATAAAAGTGCGACTTCTAGTATTGAGCTTTAGTGCTTGGAAATGCTTTAGTTAGATGCTAAATATGTTTTGGAACTAGATAAAATGAAAAAATGTCTTCAGTCCAAGGGGCCAGCAATAAACAGCTGCCTAACTAAAGATCAAATAAAACTGTATTAGGAACATGAGGAATATTCTAACATGGCCACCGAAGGGGTTTGTGCATGGAGATCATTCTTGGTGAACAGGTTGTTACTGCCAGGGGTGACCACTTCCATCTTGTATATGCCTTCCTGGGACTGGCTTTTCTTTACTAGTGTTTACGAAATGAAATTGCATTTAGCAGACAGCTAGGGATAGGAAGAGAAGGACCATGTGAACCACAGATTTCTATAGAGCTGTTGCAGAGCTTCTTGGTCACCCCATGATCTTTCCTTTCTTTGGACTGCTTTGATCTCTTGAGACAGAAGGACGCTGACTATCATTCCGCAGGTGTCTTGTGACCTGATTCATTTATGGTCAAGTTCTGACATTCTCATCATTATGTAAAGTGCAGCCTTCTATTAGGAATGTGTACCAAATAACCATTACAATGCAAAAGGGAAGATAATGATAGCTGCAGTGGGAAAGTGGCTTTCAGTGAAGATACTTTATTGATTAGTTTATTCTACAGATGTTCAGAATTGTTTCCTGGTGTGATTCCGTTAGACAGCAAATGGAAATCAATTTTCCTTTTTTATACATTTGAAAGGGCTTAGCAAGCTGTGAAGAAGAACAAAAAGAGCCATTAGGATCAGACACTGTTAGATCACATTGCTAAATAGTGTGACTTTCCAATTACAAATCTATCTAAGTGCTCAATTTGAACAGAGGACTCATTGCATTGGTCTTGTATCTTGGGGATTTGTTCCAGCTGGAGAACGGCTTGCCTGAGCCCTCTAGTCCTCACACAAACATGGGCAGAATCCTACAAATATTAAGCTATTCTGTCCAAGGAGAAATCAATGCGATGATACATATGAGCAAAATAATGGGTGTGTAGGATCGAATCTCTGTCTCAGTTTGTGGAATAACTTATGGTTTGATATCTTTAGTGATGCTTGCCATTAGAAACAGCCCTCAAAAATATTCGCCTTTTTGCATACTGATTAATGCTCTTGGATTTGGAAGTTCATGAATTGTAATCCCCTGAACTCTTAATCTTGTTGACAATTCTAAATGAAAACGGTGCAGCCCATGTATGGCTAGTTTCTCTAAACCCAGTGAATGAGAGTCCTAGTGAAAGTCAGGAGAAATCAGGATCCCTTTACAGTTTCCTAGAGAAACTTGGAAAAAGCTCCCTCCATGCCGTCTCTGGAAAGGAGGACATACCAGGAAGGCAGTGGAGGATCCAGCCTCCTGAGCTTCCTGAATCAGGTCTAGTGCCAGGAGGCTAGAAAGGACTCAAGGTTAGGAAAATGCAGGAGGGTCAAGCCTGATGATTTGCAAAGCCAACGGAGGGGCTTGCCAGCTCTCCTTCCTCAGCCAGAGAAGGCTCCTGAGGATGGAAGTCTGAAAGCAGCTGAGGGAGGTGCCCTCTCCGTTCTCCAGCTCTGAGAGTGAAGTCAGAAGGCCAGAGGGGGCTGCACTGGGGTGTGTTGCAGGATGCCAGGGCTGTATTAGATGTATGTCCTGGATTACATTTTGAGGTTTATGTCTGTAGTGAATTAGCCCCCTGCAAGCCATTTGCATCAAGAAACACAACTGGGATTGTTTCAGGGGACTCTGGAAGTGGAAGCAAAGAAAGACACATTGGCCATTTAATAGAGGAAGGGTCTCAGATCCTGGGCTCCAGCCTGAGCCCGAATGTCTTCAACACAATCAAACAGACCCTGACATGGGCCAGCCCTGGGTTTTAATTGCAATGTAGACATATCCCTAAAGAGTAGTCAAATTCCCACCCAGCCTTCATTTAGCTAGGTTAACTAAGCCAAACTCTTTTCATGTCCTCTCATAAAATAGGATCATCCTAGATGGAAGTGGTATTGTTTTCTGCTTTGCATTTTAAAACCTCAAAAGGCACAGGTACAATATAGATATGATTGTTCACTGTGATGAAACAAGCTAAATATCGGCCCGTGCAGCAAAATTTAGATCCAGAGCTTGATGCCTTCTTCCCTGACCCCCGGATTGGGATCATACCATTTCAGAGACAGATCAGCAGTGGAATAAAATCCAGGGGTTGGATTCCTTTCCTCCAAAACAGTGGGGGTGTTTTGATCTAAGGTTTTGGTTCTGTTTTCTCTCCAAATTAACATAATTTTCTGTTTTAAACCTACAAAATGGGCTGAAAATTTTTGGTGCTTCCGGATACTTAAGGCCAATTTTTTTGTGCTTGTCTGTGTAAAAATATTCTCTCCTACTGAGATCTTGTAAAACAAGCTTTAGCCAGGAGCAAAAATTTTGCAGAAGGGTGTAATTCTGTAAATAAATGTTTTAAAAAATGGTAGCCTGTCACAACTGTAAGTAGTCAGTGGAGCAACACTTTCCACCACCTTCCCTGCAGTGTTCATTTGATGTCTATTCTATGGAGCATAGAGTGTGCCAAGAGCTGCTTCGATATTTTTATAGACAATGTGAGCCCAAACAGTAAGAAAGTGAAATTAGGATATATACTGGTATTTTATTATACCAGAAAATATCCAAGCACTGTGAAGGTTCACCCTACAGGGGAGAGACTACAGTGAGATTTTTGTTTTTTGAGGGTGGTTAGGAAATGGATAAATTGAGGGAGCACTAAATACCAAATTAATTTATCTCATGCTAGGCTAGATTAAAGAAGATTAATTAAAATAGATGTTAATGTTTTCTTATTGTAACATTTAGATACAAGAGTGTTAAACCCAACTGTTCGAAAATCAGTTCCTCTGTGCCCCCAATAAGAACATTGGTTTTAAAATCATCAGTGTTTGGTTACGTCTACACTGGCCCCTTTTCCAGAAGGGGCATGTAAATTTCATGAGTCGTAGTAGGGAAATGCGCGGGGGATTTAAATATCCCCCGCGGCATTTAAATAAAAATGTCCGCTGCTTTTTTCCGGCTTTTAAAAAAGTCGGAAAAGAGCGTCTACACTGGCCCCGATCCTCCGGAAAAAGCGCCCTTTTCCGGAGGCTCTTATTCCTACTTTGAAAGTAGACGCTCTTTTCCGGCCTTCTTTTTTTTTAAAAGCCGGAAAAAAGCAGCGGACATTTTTATTTAAATGCCGCGGGGGATATTTAAATCCCCCGCGCATTTCCCTACTATGACTCATGAAATTTACATGCCCCTTCCGGAAAAGGGGCCAGTGTAGACGTAGCCTTTGTGTTTTATAAATCTTTGTGTTCTGATATCAGAGTATTTAGGGTCATCTTTTCAAGCTTTTCCCGGTAACCATGAGAGCTAGTAATGTTTATAATCTACTATATGTTTTAAAGAATTTGTGTACCTGTCTTTGTTTGAAAGACTGTTTTGTTCGAAAACTCCTCCTAAATGGTAAGAGCTAGGAGCACCAAATTTGGCATGCAGCTTCCTCGTATCATAACTTTAAAGCAAAGCCAGGGTTGGTAGTGCCAGGACAATGGGATGTGTTTGGAATGCAATTTGATTCTCATCAAATGGAAAGGGAGGGTGTGATAGCAGGGACAATATACCCGGGCCCTGAATGACCTCAGGGGGGAACCCGCTGCCCCGGGCCAGCCCCAGGGAACAGTTGGTGGCTGCCTCCCACCCCCTGCTCTGGCTTCTTCACCCCCACTGCCTACCCTGAGCCCCTCCTCATCCCTCAACCCTGACTCTAGCACCCTCACATCCCCAGCCTCCTGCCTTGAGTCCCCCACATTCCTAAGGCCCTGCCCTGACTCCTGCACCCCCCTCATAGCCTCAGTCCCCTACCCTGAAGAACCCAAGCAATGCCAAGTAAATCTTCTAATTTATATGTATTTAAAATGTATTATTAAGCACCAGCAATTCCTGCTCTTTGGAGCAGAAGACTACAGACCATCCTCACTATAAGTCTAAGATACAATCCAAAAAACCTTGACTTATAGAGAAACAACTTAAAGCGGGGATTTTTTTTCCTGAGGCTTACTTCCATTTGCACAGATTGATTTGGTTTGATCTGGGGGTTTTTTGCACGACTTTAACAGTGACGAATAGGAGGACTTACAACACGTCAGATTCTACAAGCATCAACAACTTTTGTGCAAAACGGCTGTATACCAGGGCGACTTATAGCAGGGACATCCTGTATCTCTTATTCTGTGTTTGTACAGTGCCTAGCACAATGATCTTGGTGCGCCTCTAGGCATCAATATAATAAACATGATAAATAATATGTTAGCATTTGTTTCTTGTACAGAATCTAGGATAGTTTGTCTCCCAGGACATTTACCGTCTGGAAGATGAATTTAAGGAGATTGAGTATCCTGGGATACGCTAGTGTTCTATACAGGCAGTCCCCGGGTTACGTACAAGATAGGGACTGTAGGTTTGTTCTTAAGTTGAATTTGTATGTAAGTCGGAACTGGTACATATTGTAGGGGAAACTCTAGCCAAACATTTCTCCAGAGCTCAGTTTTATTCTCCCACACCTCACTTCCTCAGTCCTTTATTCTCAAGCTGAGGTGTCTGCTGAGAAAAGCCACTCCACGTCTCCCTGGTCTGCTGGGGGGGCGGCGGCTAGCTTCACGTCTCACTGGTCTGCTGGGGGGAAGCAGCTAGTGCGGGGTTGCCTCACCCCGTTTGTAAGTAGGGATCCGATGTAAGTCGGATCAATGTAACCCGGGGACCGCCTGTACATATAGAAAATAAACTACTGCCTAATTTGTTGTATGCAGTGTAGCCATGTTGGACCCTGGATACTAGAGACAAGAGGAAGTCATATCATTTATTGGATTGTGTCTGGTTGTAAGAAGGACAAGCATACACAGATCTCTTCTTCAGGTTTGGACAATATACTCAGAGTGTCACAGCTAAATACAAGTTGGAACTAACTGTTCACACAGAATTCAAGGAATCATTCAAGATGAAGTGGCCCATTAACACCTTTCCAGTTGGAGAGGTAAGAGGGTGTTTAGTAGGTTAGAAATTGTTGTAATAAGCCATAAATCCAGTGTCTCTATTCAGTTCATTATTTTTAGTGTCTAGCAAAGTTATTCGTTTTAATTCCCAGGCTCATCCTGTGAAAGTGACATGCAGGTTTCCTTCTAGGATGAGGACTGATAGGTCAGCTATAGAATGCTTACTTTGTGAAAAGTGTTCCACCTGTAGGTAATAGGGTTTTCTTGATTTCTGTCTTTTTTTTTCCCCTGTGAGTTCATTCAAGAGTGATTGTCTTGCTTCACTCACATAGTTTGTATTGGGGCATATAGTACACTGGTGCATGTTGTGATAAGCATAGGTGACTGGTCGGGGGGAACCTGCAGGGACATCAGCAATGTGACCCCTCTGTAACCTGGGGAAGGGCAAGGACTACCTCACTCTGCCCAGGCCTCACTTCTCCCTACGATTGCTATGCCCCCAACCCACCTCTTCCCCAACAACCAAGGTGGCCTCAACTAGTGGTACCAGTGCTGCCAGTTAGTGGGGGTCGCGGGCAGGAGACAGATCTAATTAAGAGCTAACTGATACAATGAAAATGCATAGACTTACTTGAGAGGGAAGCTCCTATAAATACAGGACCCTGGTCTCCTCTTGTCAACATCAGAGCATCGGTCCAGACTGACCAAAGTCTGGCTCCTCACTTCCCCTCTCCCATCTAATTCACCTGGCCAGTGAGTAAAGGGGAGCAACAAATTGGTAACTAAGCAACAACAAGATGGAGAGGGTATGTGTATGTATGACACACACATAAATATAGTATATCATATGCATATAATATAATAATGATATATTACCAATAAACGTGTTCTCTTGGGTGGCCTGCTCCATTATGCAATCTACAGTAAACTTCCGATAATCCAGCACCTTTAGGACCCAGGGGGTGCCAAATTATCAGATATACCGGACTATCAGAAGGGGGGGCTATGAGGGGCCCGGGGTGGCCTCCCCCCCCACCCCACTCCAGACCCCTCATAGCCCCCCCCCTTACGATAGTCTGGCTCTGCCCCAGGCATCCCTGATTCAGCCGTTGCTGGTCGGTTTCAGCAGCAGCTGAATCGGGGATGCCAGCAATAGAGCAGCTGGGGTGCTGCCGGGTTGGTCCCGCAGCGCCAAAGGGCGGCGCTGAGGGACCAACCCGGCAGGACCCCAGCTGCTCTGCCCCAGGCGTCCCCAAGAGCAGCTGGAGTGCTGCTGGGGTGGTGCTGTAGCGCCGCCCCTCAGCGCTGCGGGACCAACCCGGCAGCACTCCAGCTGCTCTGCCCCAGGGGTCCCCAAGTCAGCCGCTGCTGAAACAGATCAGCGGCTGATTCCAGGAAGTTGATGCTAGTGTGGGTGTGTTGTACAGTGAATTCAAGGAATAAGAAGTTATTGCTGATGAAAATCTATGAGGGTAGTTCGAACTAGCGGGGTAATGTATGCATACCGAACGTGCAAATGAAGCCCGGGCTTCATTTGCATAAGCCGGCCGGCGCCATTTTTAAATGCCGGCTTGTTCGAACCCCGTGCCGCGCGGCTACACGCGGCACGGGCTAGATAGTTCGAACTAGCAAGCCATTCTGAACTATCTGTACGCCTCGTGGAACTAGCGGGGTAGTGTAGACATACCCTGAAGGAATTTAGGTTGTCTGCCCAAACAATGGAACATCACTGTATCTTAAGTATATCACTGATTTCTTTTGAAAGGGGTTTGCAAATGCCTTTTGTTAGTTGCAAAAACAAAAATATCAAATTATTTTTCTTTTAGTAGCTACCCAGTGTATTCCTCAGTTCTGAAGCTGCACTGCCAAGCAAAAAACAAAACATTCACTGGCTTTAGTTATTCTAAAAAGTTCTGGTTTACTGCAGACTGACCGCAAAACATGGCAAGAGCATGACCAGCTTCCTCCACACTGACTTGAGGCTCTGCTTTGACTGTGTTCCTGAAGAGTCACTTGCAGGACAATATCTGGACTAGGAAGATAGGTCACAATTTTTAAAAAATTTGTTTGCCAACATTTTAAAGCCTATCTTAGTATATAGTGTGGGCAAAGTAACTCCTGAATTACTTGGAAAGGTCAGACCTAGATTCCCTATCACCAGTGTTAACTGACCCATAAAACGTGTTTTTAAACATGAATAGCCCTGTCTGTGCAAAATGCAGAATGTCCTCTAAAATTGTATGAGTTTAAAGCTTGTTAGTGAACATGTCTACAAAGATGACCTCTTCGTACACATGCTCTAGATGTTGGAAGGGTGGCCCATCCAACTATACTCTCTTGGCTGGTGGTGGCTTTTTTTGTTCTGATCAGTGTGTTGAGGTTACCAACTCATTTCACAGATCAAGGAACAGCTGTCACAAAGGACTGAGTTCAGCTCTACCATTACTGAACCTGAGGAATGTGTGTTAATGGCAAAAATGAAAGGCTTTGAACCCCATTCACTAGGCTAAAGATTGAATATTAGGGCCACATATCACGTATTTTAGAAATGTAACCAAGAGACAGGATCAGGGAGGAGGGTGGAGACTTAAATGAAAGCCTATGAGCTACCAAACAAAAGCAAATAATGCAAGTGTGAGAGACTGACATAACCGAAATACATTAGGCTTTGTTAAAAGTGAAAGCCCCTCTTTCTTCGGTAATGCTCTAATTTCTGCTCTTTCAGAGCTGAAAAAGAAAACCCCCTGCTGTGCATCTGCAGAATTAATGAGGCACCTTGTTGACTGCTACACTTATACTAGTTTTTAAATAGAATGTGTGATGGAATAGGGGGATTAATCTCCTCATAAGAGACCAATTTGTGCAAAACACTCCAACTAGAAGGGGGACAGCAGAATCCAGAGTTTCCTGCAGGCTTCAAATCAGTGCACATTCTGTTATGTATTGCATCATCTCCTCCCCTTCCCTCCCCTCTCCTCCCCTCCAGCGATCTCCTCTGCCCCACTCAGAGCCCCACACACAGCTCTCAAAGTACTATCTTTTTGGTTGTTGCTCTTCTCTCCATATTGCTTATCCTCCAGGAGATTTTCATCACTGTGATTGTCCCACCAGCTGCAAATAGTTACTGCCTCCTTTAGAATCCATTAATGACACTCTTGGATCTGCAACAGAGTCAGCAGAGGCTCATGGATTCTCTGGCCTATTTTCCTCAAAGTGCATTCACCTCAACCTCCCAGTGTGGCTTATGGTGTTTCATCTGCAACAGTCACTGTTCCCAGGACCAGGAAGTGAAAAAATGTGTTATGGCAACTTGATTGTTGTTCTATCCAGCATCATGACAAAACAATGGAGCTAACAGAATGTAACAATGAAGAGACATTCGGAGATCAGCACTCCTAACAATCTATCCCCATTGCTCATGTATATTGGCTCTTTTTTGTTATGCCAAAAAGATGGACTAGAATCTGGATTCCTGTCCTATGTCAGGTAATTACAATTTGATTCACATTTTGTTGGGACTAGCTTCTTTTTCTCTAAAATGTAATTATATAGAGATGGATGGTGGAGGGTATGATTGCAATACTTAGGTTTCCAAAAATGGCTCAGAAACTGTTAGTGACAATTCATCCTTTCAATGAATCAAGCTAAACCAAGTTCTATGCCATTGCCACATGGGGCAGGGAAGTCTCTTCGGGAGGAGACTTACATTCCTGTCTATTCTGCAGACATTAAACATACCATAACACTTTTTATACACTAATAATGGGGATTTGGCCAGGACAGCAAGACAAACTGATTCCTCCCCTCTGTTGTTCCAGCATCTTTTCTTTGTTGCCTTCCATTCCTGAGGTGGCTGCATGTCCTGATGTCTTCCACAACGGTTTCTGAAGAGACTGGATGAAAGATGCCATATAAATCTGAACTGTGGCATCTGATACTAATTTTTTTCTACAGTGGTGACCCAATTACATAGGGTCAGATTTCGCTTCCCTTATTCCAGCTAAATTGTGCTTTATTTCTCCAACAGTCTTATTGACTTCAGTGGCAGTTCACGTACCTCTCAACATGAGTGGAGGAGTTATTTTTGTTACCACACATCCTCATGCTACCATTGTTTTGAACTGAACTGACACCTAGATGCTATCATAAGTCAATAAATAGACACTAATTAAATCACTACTCTGTGACCTTTGCTACAGCACAAATCATTTATGCTTTGTGATAACTAGACCATGGTTAGCTGCCCTATGCAGCAGAATTATGGCTAACTTGATGAAAAGTGTTCTCGTGATCTCATTCTTCTATCTGGGAGAAGAATCTCCCTCAGTAAGAGCAAACATTAATTTTTTAAATGAATTTCTGAACCCTTAGTGTGAATTGATCCTTTGTGGAGGCAGGAAGGAATTTTAATATCGGACACTATTATGTGGTGGTGTGGTTCTCAGCCTTTTCCCTACTGAGATCCCCTTGGAATCTTTCTTCTGTCTAGGAGGGATCTAAGTGGGTCCCTTGTTCCAGTTAACAATATGGAGTTAGTTGGGAAACAATTTCCAGGTTGGAAACACTATAGTGCACTGCTGTGATATTTAGAAGTATAACTTGGTATGAGAGTGTGAATTCAACTTTCCCTATAGTCACAGGTAGGATACCAGGTCAGGTGGATTTAATGAGATCTGGAACACCTCTTCTTCTATTATGTATTGGCAATAAACGGAAGACAAATCCTTTAAGTTGCAACTTTACAGACTTGGGTCTTTCAAGTAGACACATAAACAATGTAATAGCTTTAATGTCATAACCCAAGGATGTTTCAGCAAAGTCTTAGGTTTTCGTAAGAATATGGGCATTATGTGGAAGAAGGATGATTCAGCCTTCATCTAATCTTTACTCCAGCCCAACTCAAAGAACCTCCTAAGTTCCTGGCCCTTGCGTGGTTATTCTTCTGAGAGAACTTTTCTGGAATGGATTTTCACCCAGCTGATGTAGTAATATGTTAAAAGATATAAAACTTTCAACAACTGAGAGATGGTGTGAAATCAAGAAAAAATACTTTAGTGCAGAAACAACTGACAGGACTCTTACAATATAATAAGTACATGTGTTAGACAAATGCCATGATATTAAAGTCAAATAGTTTTGGTACTTTCTAGACCTGGAAGTAAGTGCTTTGTGCCCTGTTTGTAAACCAAGCATCATCTCTTGTTCAACACATTATCAGGCCAGATGCTTTTTTATATTAATGTGTTTGATTTTTTTTTATTTTGTAACCTCTATTATTAACTAACGACCCCAAGGAAGTTTGATGAGCTACCTCTGGATACATTCTAAACAAAACTGGATTTCATACTTTCAAAATGGTGGTAGAATTACATCTCAATTTACCTTAGAAAAGGTAATCTAGATCAGTGGCTTTCAACCAGGGGTATGTGTACCCCTCAAAGTACTCTGAGGTCTTCCAGGGGCTACATCAATTCATCTAGATATTTCTGTAGTTTTCCACAGGCTAAAAAGCACTAGCAAAGTCAGTACAGATTAAAATTTCATTCACAATTATTTGTCTATACTGCTCTGTATGCTATACACTGAATTATAAATACATTATTCATATTCCAATTGATTTATTTTATAATTATATGGTAAAGATGAGAAAGTAAGCAATTTTTCAGTAGTAGTGTGCTGTGATACTTTTTTGTGTATAATGTCTGATTTTGCACATTTTTAAGTGAGGTGAAACTTGGGATTACTCAATACAAATTGGAGTCTTGAAAAGGGGTACAGTAGTCTGGAAAGGTTGAGAGCCACTGCTCTAGATAGCAGTTATACATAGAAAGGAATAAAACTAATGTTATTGTAAGGACAACTTTGCCCTCAGTTACATGTGTGCAATGAACACAGATTTTTATGGCAGCTGTATGTGCACATCTAAGGCTATGTTTACGCTAAAATGATCTATTGGAAAAAGGTACCCTTATTCCTCATATAATGAGGTTTACCAGTTATTTCGAGAGAAGGGTCTTCTCTCGAAATAACTGCATCTTAACAGCATCTGTTATTTCAAAATATCGCTATTTTGAAATAGCACCATAACACAATTATGCAAATGAAGCACTGGATATTTAAATCCTGGCTTCATTTGCAATTTCAAATATCTTCATTTGCATCCCTCTCTCAAAAGAGGGTGCAAGTGTAGACATACTCAAATACTGCAAAGGTGCCCGACTTTCAGAAAGCATGGAGCATCAGCAATTTGAAATTCTGCCTTCTTGAAGATATGCTAGAATCTTGGCCAAGAAGCTGAAGCCTATTGTATCTGATGTCCACTTTGTCATTATATGATGGAATACATGAGGGGATATTGCTCAATGTTTAATATTTTCTATAGAATGACAGAGAAATGCTGTGTGGAGGGAATTCTCACTGTGTGAACAAGTTCACTACCCAAAGCCAAAGGCCCTCAAGTTTGTGATGCTGAAAAAATAGGGAAAGGCCTCTGTATCGCCATGCAGCCTAACAGAGAATCACTGCTGAAATCTCCTCATGGAGGCATGATGTGCTCCTAATAAATATACATCACTTTCCAGAAAGCAAGAGCATTCCTCTGGAACAGGGGATACCAGTGTTATCTTTGGGACAAGGTCTGAGGTGGACACTACAGCAACTTTCCTATTCCAGGTGCAAACTTCAAAGTCAGAAAGCTATAAAGACCATAGGGGTGAGGTTGAACTCACTGAGGAATTTGAAGCTATTCTGCTACAGATATGGGTTATTAACTTAGGTGACACAGTCATTTGTTCTGTTTCCCTGAAATTAGAAAGTTTGTGGTTCTGTTTTTGTTGTCTCAAGTGTTACCATTTGAGCTGACTGGGTTGTAGGGTTTTCTTTCATGATTTTCTTTTAAAATCCATTTTATTCATTTGTGTTGCTGAGAGGTTTCCATAGCAATTATAATGTTGGATTAAGACAGTCATATTATTCAGGTTAATGCAACATCTCTGGTGTTCCCTAAGCAAGCTTTGCAATTCTGCTCTACCTGA